AGTTAATATTCAGGTAGTATTTATGTTTTGAATATATCATGTCATGTATTGTAAGCTATTAGCCTAAATCTAATTTCTGTCAGACTGCTTTCCAGTCCTCTCAACAGTTCTTATTAATTGGGGAGTTCTTTCTAAGGTAATTTATACTTTTGAGTTTAATGAATATGAGGTTATATCGAGTTTAGTTATTTCTGATTCTTCCTTGCCCAGACTGTTCTGTTGATCTTTTCTAATTTTTTTAAACCAGCATCAAATAATTTTGTTACTGTTTCATAATATAATTTGAGGTCTATAAGTGCTCTTCCCCCTTTATTCCTCCTTTTTTTCATTGTTTTCCTTGATAATCCAGCTCTTTTGTTCCCCCAAATGAATTTTATTATTATTTTGTCTAACTCTGTAAAGTATCCTCTTGGTAGTTAAATTGGTATTCCACTAAATCTCTAAGTCTGCAAATTAATTTAGGTGGTGTTGTCATTTTTATTTTATCGTTGTGGCCCAGCCATCAGCCTTGAATATCCCTCCAATTATTTGAGTTCTTTCTTTAATTATTATTTTGTCATTATAGCTATATGGTTATTGAGTAATCGACTTCCATGTATTTTATATATTTTGTAGTTATTTTGAAAGGCCCTTCCCTTTCAATTATTCCCTTTTAGATTTTGCTATCACTATAAAGAAATACTATTGACTTGTGTATGTTTAATTTGTAAGCTATTACCTTACTGAAGCTATCATCACAATTTTTTTTGTTTTAGTAATTGACTCCCTACTCACTCACATTCTCTCCCTCTCTGTCTCTTTTATTTCCACATTGGTCTCTTTAGAAACTTACCCTCTTCCACACTGCAATTTCTTTCTGTGTCCTCTATCATTTTTAAGTGTTTTTCACCCCTCCTGGTCTGACTTCCCCTGAAGAATCTTAATTCATGGGATGCTAAAATCCAGATTGTATGTCAAATTATGTCCAGCTTTCTTTTTTTTTCCCTTAACAGAAATTCTAAGGTAAAATAGTCACTTCTCCCCAAAGTTCCTGAAATTTCTACTTCAGAGACCCCTTAAATATAGGTTTGGCTCCACAGGCAAATTTCTCTTCACTCTCCAGACCCTATGTCCACCCTCCCTTCCCTCTCTAGCTCTGAAGTCATAATCACGTGTGTCTGTCGTAATCCCTGGGAGAAAGGGAAGGGAAGACACATTTATTAAACACCTACCATATGCCAGGCACTGTGCTAAATGCTTGGAAATATTTTCTTATTTGATCCTTACAACATCCCTTAGAGGTAGATGCTATTATGACGTGTGTGTGTGTGTGTTCACACTCATACATACATATATACATATACACATACATATATACATATATACTTTTCCTCTTTTATTTTTACATCAATACATTTTTAAATTAATAATTATTAACACATAATTCAATAATTAAAATTAATAAAATTAATATATATTTTTAAAAATATACACACACACACAACACACTTTGCTTTTTTATTTGTCTCCCAGGCTCTAAGCACAGTACTTGGCATATAGTAAGCAATTAATAAAGGCTTTTTCTTTCATTCAATCAAAGGGTAATTGTGTAACATCTACTATGTTAAAATATGACAGTGTTTCCCAAACCAAAGTATACTGTGGACCAATAAAATATCTAATTTTTCTACTTTAGCCCTCTTTGCCTTGACTAGGTTGTCTGTGCTCAAGGGACAGGGAGGGAGGAGCTACAAGGGAGAGAGGTGGGTCCGGAAGAGTAGAGCATAGGGAACAGTCTGCTTTTAAAGTTTATAGGTTTTTCAGACATAACATAAGTTTTGTTGAACAGTAAAAATCAGTGATCTGCAGCCAGGAATTTGGAAATTATTTTAGAGGTGATGATAAATAACACTATATTTATAGCATGTATATATTTATATGCTTGTGTAATATAGGCCTAAATATATATGTGTGTGTGTGTGTGTGTGTGTGTGTGTGTGTTTGTATATGTGTGTGTGTGTGTATGCATGCATGCATGGATGTATGTATGTAGAATGTTTTTGTTTTGGGACAACCCTTTAGGTCTAGAAGCCAGGAGAGTCTGGCTCTAATAGTAGGAATATGACATGGCTTCACTCCTTGAAGCCTCAATTTCCTCATCTGTAAAATTTGTATAATAGTATTTGTAAGGGTGACTCAAAAACCTGTTTAGGCTTTGCCACTTTATCTATATATGGAAAGCTAGGAATGTGACTAGGTAGGTAGAAAAGGCAATGAATGACCTTGCTTCCTGGGCTTGGCTTTGTCTCAGTCTACAATGGAGAAAGGAAGAGGTTTGGAGTTGAAAAACTGGAGAACCCTAGAGCTCTTGGGTATTTATTGGGTGAAGAATCCTTCTACTTCAGAGAGTTAAATAAGGAAGCATAGAGAATGCTTACCACAAGCCAGGGTCTTTTCAGTATTTCCCTGTCTACTGGCTACTTACCTACTGCCTACAAACATGCCCAAAACGCTCAAAAATACCCTCACTTGATCCTTCCATTCCTGCTAAATATTGTCCTAAATCTCTTCCTTTTTATGGTGAAACTCTTTGAGAAGTCCATCTATAATCAGTGCCTCTACTGCCTTCTTAATTCTCTGCAGCCTGGCTTCTGACCTCTTCATTCAACTGAACCTGCTCTATCCAAAGTTACCAATGATCTCTTAATTGCCAAATCCAATGACCTTTTCTTAATCCTCATCCTTCTTGACCTCTCTGCAGCCTGTGACACTATTGATCAACTCCTTCTTGATAATCTTTTCTCTCTACATTTTTGTGATACTATTTTCTTCTGATTCACCTCCTACCTATCTGACTGACTGCTCCTGTTCAGTCTTCTTTGTTAGATATTCATCCAGGCCCTTCCTGCTAGCCATGAGTATTCCCCAAGGCTCTGTCCTGGGCTCTCCTCTTCTCTCTCTATACTATTTCACTTGGTGATGTCATCAGTTCCCATGGATTCTTCTCAAATCTACTTATCAAGTCCTAACCTCTCTCCTGACCTTCAGTCTTACTTCTCCAACTGCTTATTGGACATCTCAGACTGGGTATTCCATAGATATCTTAACCTCAATTTAGCCAAAACTGATCTCATTTCTTTCCAAATCCTCACCTCTTCCTAATTCCCCATTAGTATTGAGGGCACCACCATCCCCCCAGTCACTGAGGCTCAGAACCTAGCTGTCACTCTCTGCTCACTCTCACCAGCAATATCCAATCTGTTGTCAAGGCCTGTTGATTTTCTCTCCACAGCATCTCTCACATCTGCCCCCTTCTCTCCTTGGACACTGGCACCACTCTAGTACAGGCCCTATTGCAATAGTCCACTGGTTGGTTTAGCTGCCTTTAGTTTGTAGCCCCCAGTCCATCTTCCACTCAGCTTTCAAACAGATCTTCCTAAAGTGAGATCTGACCACATCACCCTCTTATTCAGTAAACTCCAGTGACTCTCTGGGGTCAAATACAAATTACCTCTAGAGTCAAATATAAATTCTTATGTTTAGCTTTTAGAGCCCTTCATGACCTGGCCTCTTCTTTCCATTTTAATCTTCTTCCACCATCCAATGACTCAGGGTTCCTTGCTGTTTCTTGTACAAGACACTCTATCTCCCACCTAGACATTTTCATTGGCTATTCCCTGTGCCCGCAATTCTCTCCCTGTGTGTCCTGTCTTACTTCAGGGACCAGATAAAATTCCAGTTTCCCTGATCTCTCTCCATGGTAGTGCTTTCCCTCATTACTTCCATTTTATTCTGTATATATCTTGTTTGTACATAGCTGTTTACATGTTGCCCTACTCATTAGATTGTTAGTTTGTTAGCCTTTTTTTTTTGTATCCCCAGCTTAGCACAAGGTCTGATACATAGTAGGCACTTAAATGCTTATTGACTTATTGATGGCTTGACTCAACAGAAGACTTAAAACCTGAGAGCACTATATAAATGTGACTTATTTTTAATGTCATTATTCTTTTATGATGGAAGGAAGGAAATAAGTGTTTATTCAGTGTCTGCTATATGCCAGGCACTGGGCTAAGCACCTCTCAAATATTATCTCATTTGACCCTCACAACAACCCTGAGAAGCAGGTGCTATTGTTAACCCCATTTCACAGTTGAGGAAACTTGGGTAGAAGTTAAGTGACTTGCCCAGGGTCACACAGCTAAGAATCTGAGGTGGAATTTGAACTTGGGTCTTCCTGGCTTCAGGGCTCTATTTGTTTATTCCTAAAAGGTGTTCCTTCGGTGCCCTAAAGACTACTAGTGGTGATTAATTAAGTAAAATTTAAGGGCATTTTGTCTGGGATGTTCTAAAAGGGATTCATGCTTTAAGTAGGAGGTACTCTAGATCTTTTCTCATGTCAAGATTTTTTGAAGACTCATCCATGGTTTTCTCTGTTACACGGGAGGGTTCAGTGAGTGTGTGTGTGCGTGTGTGTATGTGTGATGGGGGGGTGTCCATGTGTGAATAGGAAATAACTGGTGTGAAAACAAAATGCAATGATTAACTTCAGTTTTAAAACTCAACAATGTAGCCCTTTAAAGAAATCAATGATCTTTGTGCAATTTTCTGGGTTTTTTTCATTCTTGGTACATAAAGATATTGTAATTTTAGATTTATAAATCTCCAGAAAGGAGAGTTTTGTGAATATTTATTTTGCTCTGTTCAGCACTTATTTGAAAATGACATACACAGGCAGCCATTTAATAAATACTATTTGATGACAAAGACAAAAAAATTACTTTTATGTAAAACACAAAAATTATCAATCAACCAAAGGGAGTTGGAAGAAAAAAATCTGTCATTCCTTACCTCCATCACTGAGAGCAAAACACTGCCACCAACCAGACACTGAGCTTGCTGGCTTCCCCCATGCCTGCTGATGCACCATGGCCTGTGAAAGATGAAGGCAGGGGGAGCTTGAGCACCCAAAATGAGGGGAAGACTTTGTGAAGCTTATTTTTGTTCCCTTTTGGTTACAGGACACATTTAAGATCACCACCAAGAAAGTCTTTCTGGATGTATTTCTGCCTGATGGAAGGAATATCCGCATTGAAATTCTAACCTCTGACACTGCTGAAAGAGTCCTAGAGGTAACGTGCAGCTACCAGGTGCCACCTGTGAAATTTATAATCCCGTAGAGAAAATCAAGTTTAGAAATAATCTGGTTGAGACGGTAAATTCAGTCACAATTTGTTCATGGACCCTTACTATATTATTCCCTCCCCCCCCCGCAATGAGATATTTATTTCTGTTCAAGTGTCTGGATTGTCTGAGAGATTTGTGGGTACAGTCCATCACTAGGGAAACGTTTCAGGTTCAGCATTCGTGTCCTGATCAGTTTTGGGGTCTTTTCCTTGATCCTCCCTCAAGCTGTTGTTGTTAGCCTGAAACTATAGCAGCCTATAAAAGTGCCCTGAGAATAACTAAAAGAATCGGGAAGAAGGAAGACTAGCTACTGTATGTGCACACAAATGATGCAGCGATATTTGAAGTTGACGTGGGAAGGGCTTGAGAAGATTATGATATATAAATATATATATATATACACACACATATATAGTATACAGTACATATATATAGTATACAGTATGTATATATATATACACACGTGTGTGTGTGATATCAATATATGGAAATAATAATAGCTTGCATTTATGTAATGCTTTAAGGTTTATATAGTACTTTTACATATGTTACCTCATTTGATCCTCACAACAACCCCATAAGAGAGGTGCTGTTATTATTATTGTCCTCATTATACAATTGAGGGAACTGTGGCCAGGAGTGGATTAATTGATTTGCTAGGGGTCACATAGCTTACAAATCCTGAGGCAGGATTTGAATTTGGATATTTGTCTCCAAATCCAACACTCTACCCATTGTAACCTTAGCTAAGATCCCTGAAACCAATGTCTCTTTGCTTTTGTCTGCCTGATTCTGTCCACACATGTCAATATACTTTGCTTTCATTCTGGTTTCCTGAGGGCCCCAAGGACAAGATGGAGAGAGTTTTGATGGTCTAAGGTGAAGTTACTATAAAGATGAGACCAGAGCTTAAACCAAGGGTAGCAAAAATAGACAGTGGCCTAGGGCACAACCAAATGTATGAAAAGAAGTAGGGATGGAAGTAGAAGTGAAGCAATTTTTGTTAAAGTTTTTTTTGTTTGTTTTGTTTTGTTTTTACACAAAAGGCACTTCTCAACATATACCCTATCTCCCCAATCCCCTTATAAATAGTAAAAGGGTAGAAGATAGTTAACAAAAAGGAGGATATGTCCTTTAGCTTATATAGTAATGCACCAGCCCTGACCATTGGATTTAACCAGAATTTTGTTGCCTCGTTATATAATGACTTCATTTATATTGTTCTAGTTTTTGCATCTGATGTCCTCTTCCTTCTTTCTTCCTTCCTTCCTTCCTTTCTTTCTTCCTTTCTTTCATTCTTTCTTTCTTTCTTCCTTTCTTCCTTTTTTCCTTTCTTCCTTTCTTTCTCCTCCCATTTCCTCAAGCTCACAACCTAGGAGTCACCCTGGACTCCTCACTATCTCTCAGCCCCTATATCCAAGCTGTTGCCAAGGCCTATTGATTTCACCTTTGCAGCACCTCTCAAATATGTCTTCTTCTCTTCTCTGACACTGCCACCACTCTAGGGCAGGCATCATCACTTCACCGTTGGATTATTGTAATAGTCTCCTTATGGGTCCACCTGCCTCCACTCTCTACCCATTCCAATCCATTCTCCATTCAGCCACTAAAAGGATTTTCCTAAAACATGGGTCTGATCACGTCAATCCCTCTTTTCCTCCAACTCCAGTGGCTTCCTATTGCCTCCAGGATCAAATACCAAAATTCATTGGCATTCAAAGCCCTTCATAACCTAGCCCCCTCCTACCTTCCCAATTCTTTTTTGTCGTACTTAAAATTTTTTAATGTATTTTATTAAATATTTCCCAATTACATGTAAGAATAATTTAACATTCATTTAAAGAAATTTGAGTTCCAAATTCTCTCCCTCTCTCTCCTGTTCCTTCCCTACTCCTTGAAAAGGTAAACATTATGATATTGATAATACATGTGAAGTCATGCAAAACATATTTCCATATTAGCCATGTTGCAAAAGAAAATAGACAAAATAAAAACCCAAGAAAAATAAAGAAAGCAAAAAGCGTATACTTCAATCTTCATTCAGGGTTCATCAGTTCTTTCACCAGAAGTGGCAGCATTTTTCACTGTGGGTCCTTTGGAATTGTCTTGGATCATTCTATTAATCAGAGTAGCTAAGTCTTTCACAGTTCATCATTACAATATTGTTGTTACTGTGTTAAATGTTCTGGTTCTGTTCACTTCACTTTGTGTCAGTTCATGTAAGTCTTCCCAGGTTTTTCTAAAACTAATCTGCTCATCATTTCTTATAGCACAAGAGTATTCCATCACAATCAAATACCATAGCTTGTTCACCCATTCCCCAATTGATCTTCCCAGTCTTCTCACACCTTCCTCACCAATATGTACTCTTCAATTCAGTGACACTGGCCTCCTGACTGTTCTACAAAAACACACTCCATTTCTCAGCTCCAGGCATTTTCTCTGGCTGTCCCCCCAGGCCTGGAACTTATTTCTGAAATATGTTTTTTTTCCTTTTTTAAGAGCATTTTTAGATTATTCAATCAGTAAGCATAAAGCTGTGTACTAGAGGCATGGAGAAAACCAGTGAAAGAAGTAAATTGTGTGTATGTGTGTGTGTGTGTGTGTGTGTGTGTGTGTGTGTGTGTGTATGTGTGTAAAAACAGAAGGAAGGATGGTTTGACTGGATTTTAGAAAGCAGAGGGGAGTCATGTCATAATAAGACAGGTAAGGTAGGCTGGGGCTAGGTTTTTAAGGATTTTAAATCCCGGAGAGAGGAGTCACTTAGCTCCACAACAGCACTAGGCCAAACCAATTTAAATGGACATAACAGTCCTTACCCTTATAGGAACTTATAGTCTACATTCACAGAGACAGATAGGAAGTGTACTTAGGCATTCCAGCTCACTATGATTAAGAATGGTATTACATGGAGGCAGCTAGGTGGCGCAGTAGAGTACTGCTCTGGAGTCAGGAGGATCTGAGTTCAAATGCAGCCTCAAATACTTGACACTTACTAGCTATGTGACCCTGGGTAAGTCACTTAATCCCAATTGTCTTGCAAAAAGAAAGAGAAAAAGAAAGAAAGAAAGGAAGGAAGGAAGGAAAGAAGAAAAAGAAAAAGAAAGAAAGAAAGAGAAAGGAAGGAAGGAAAGAAAGAATCGTGCCACATGACATTGACTTGGTATACAAGCAAAGGATGTACAAGCATGTTGCGGGAGGAAGTTGAATCAGGACTGGCCTAGAAAGAGGCCCCAGCATGTCATTGGTGAACTCTTATGGGATCTTGGACTATCCTTTTCTCATTTGTTCTCAAGGAAAGTGAAAAATCACTTCAATTGAAATTTGAAATCTATCCCAAGAAAACACACTCACACCAAGCCAAGTGCTTTATCAATGAACAACCATGGGTATTCTAACACTGAAAATAACTTATTAGGGCAGATAAAAAAGGGATTAGATTGTTTCTGTTCTGCTCCAACACCATGGCCAGCTCTTAAGGGCAGAGCTATAACTAGGGTGGGACGACTGGGACGTTATTCCAGAGCACAGAAATTTAGAATCACTTATAGCACTTATACTCCTTTAGTACCACAAAAATAATTGAACATATCACCAAGTTCACAGGAATAATTAGTTGAAAGAGCCCAAAGGTAGACTGTACTTTCTTTCTCTCTGCTCATTGTAATACCCCACCCTACCCTATGCTACACATGATGTAATGGCCTCAGGTCTCTCCACCCATGGGGGTTGGTGCCTTTAGGGTCTCTTTCTCCCAATTGTCCCAAGTAAATTGGTCTTAAAAAGTGGATTTTTGGATGCTTTTTGCTACCTGTTCCAGGCCATATTTTGTAAAACTTGCCTTAGGTATAAAAAAATGCTAACTATCACTCTAAGTGAGGCAACAGTTGCTGATTAAATACCAACAGCAGAACTAAAATGTTCCATTTAGGTATTTTTACTTTGGGGTAACTTTCTTAGTAATTAATGTTTGTACTCTGAAATACTAGCCAATATTTCTCTTTGAAGTAAGGCATTCAATGGGAATGTGTTGAGTTTGAGATGTAGGTTAGAATACTGAATAATAATTAGTACTTATTGAAAATTGTTGGCAAATAATTATTTCCAAGGCTATTCCCTCCAAGTTCCCTAATAAGATGGTTTTCAGATCAGGGAAACCTTTGAAACAGCAACAACAACAAACAACAATAACATTTATCATTATTATTAATTTGTATTTATATAAAGCAGGAGTCAGCAATATGGCCCTTAGGCCAGATCTGGTCAGCCTCCTGCTTTTGTATGCCCGAGATAAGAATAGTTACAATTTAAAATAAAGTTTTACATTTTAAAATAAAATGGAAAAACCATTCTTAGTTCTCCAGCATAGTCAACCAGATTTGGCTGTCAGGCTGTCATTGCTGATCCCTGATATAGAGCTTTAGTTTTTGCAAAGTTCTCAACAAATATTATTTTATTTGGTCTTTATAACAACCCTGGCAGGTAAGTGCTTTATTATCATTTTACAGATGAGGAAACTGAGGCTGAAAGAAGTTAAATAACTTGCCCAAAGTTACACAGCGAGTTAGTATCTGAGGCAGGATTCAAACTCAGGCCTGGCTGACCCCAAGTCTGGCACTCTAACCACTATACTCTCTAGCTGCCTGATATGATAAGGATCCCCTTTAAAAGTTCAGGAGATGTATAGATAGATAGATAGATAGATGATAGATAGATAGATAGAGGGCACAAGGTGAGTTGAAGATGAAGGGGTGATATCTGGGAGAAGGAGAAAGGGAGAAGTAGAATGGGGTAAATTATCTCACATGAAACAGACAAGAAAAGGCTTTTACAGTGGAGGGGAAATGGGGGAAGGTGAGAGGGAATGAGTGGATCTTATTCTCATAGGACTTGGCTTAAGGAGGGAATAACATACACAATGGGGTATGGAAATTATCTCACCCTGTAGGAAAATAAGGGGGGAACGGGACAAGAGAGCAGAGGGTTGATAGAGGGTAGGGCAGATTAGGGGAGGGGATAATCAGAAGCAAACACTTCTGAGGAGGGACAGGGTCAAAAGAGAGAATGGAATAAATGGGGTAGGATAGGATAAAGGGAAAAATACTTAGTTTTTCACAACATGATTACTATTTTGCATGACTACACATCTATAACCTGTATTGAGATGCTTGTCTTTTCAATGAGGGTGGGTGGGGAGGGAGGAAGAGAGAAAATTTGTAACCCAAAGTTTTAAAAACACATGTTAAAATAAAAAAAAAATTAATTTTAAAAAATTAAAAAAAGAATTCTCATAAAAGCTCTAAAATCATAGAAATAATGCCAAAAAAAAAGTTCAGGAGATGTAGAGCCATTAGCCTATTTAAAGAAGCTATGATCCTGAGAACTCAGAGCAAGCTGACAAAGGCACCAGCACTTTACCAGAAACCAGGGAGACTAACCCTGGTGTCAAAATATGCCAAAGATTTTACTGCTGAAGACAATGGAGAGAAAGAAATATCCAGAGACTCTACCATACAAAAGGGAGAAATAAATGGTGGAACATTTTATGGCAGTATAAATAGTAACTGTTGAGAGAAGCCATCTAATGTACATTCTGAGTCCTATTGACATCGTTCAAGCTCTTTGTGTTGGTTTTAGAATACTTGAACACAAAGGACAAATAGTAATTTAGGTTGAATGTCACCTATTTGCCTGGTGTCAGAGGTTTTAAGTAAGGAAATATAGTTGATTACTGTAGAATGCTCTGTTACTGAGACTGAGGAACAGCAGCTCTTAAAAATGCCAAAAGCTGGCCAATAGCAAATTTATTTAAAATGGCAGCCACTTGGGGGTAAAGGAGAATCACAGAACTTAGAACTGGAAGGGACCTTATGCATCATAATCCAGGGGTTTTTAACCTGGGGTGCACGGACCCGCAGGAGGTCTACAGATAGACTTCACAGGGTCTGTGAATCTGGATGGGAAAATATACATCATTATTTTCACTAATCTCAAGATGAAGATTTATCATGTCCTTCAACTATTTAAAAACATTCTGAGAAGAGGTCTGTAGATTTCAGCAGACTGCCAAAGTGGTCCATGACATAAAAAATATAAGAACCATAATCTAGTTGAACCTTTGCATTTTTCGGAAAAGAAGATTCAAGTCTAGACAGGCAAGTGCTTTGCCCAGGATCGTGCAGGTAGCAGGTTGCAAAGCCAGGATTTGAACCCAGTCTTTTTAGCATAAAGCCAGCACTCTTTTTACAGTTGTCTTTTGCTGGTCATCTGTTAACCCCAGCCGTGTGTGTGTGTGTGTGTGTGTGTGTGTGTGTGTGTGTGT